GAGCACAGGACTGGTGGGGTACAGGTGGGGGGGGGGGGGGGGGGATGGCGGGCAGAGCTACTGCAGGGAGAGTGCTGTGAGCACAGGACTGGTGGGGTACAGGTCCTGGGGCCGCCATGCTCAGGAGTCAGTCTCTAAAGGGGGCAGAGAGCTAGAGACGGGGAGATAGGGAGCTGGGGTGTCAGGGAAGGGGGCTGGCAACTGGGGCTCCAGAGTGGAGGATCACTGGGATCCAGAGTTGGAGGCCAGAGTGGGGGTTTCTACTCACCCTGTCGCCTTTCACACCCATGTCACCTTTGAACCCAGGAAAGCCATCCTCGCCCTGAGAAAGATGGGGGTGAGAAGACACCACAGATGGCAGAGCGCCAGGGAGGGTAAGTGGAGGAGATGAGAGGAGGTGGGTAGAGGGGTGGACAGCAGCTGGGGCAGGATCGTGGGGAGGAAGTAAGGAAAAGCGAAGGCCGAAGGGCAGGCGTGGGCTGGGCAGCTGGGATGTGGAAGCACACCGCTCACCTTTTCACCCTTGTGACCTTTCAGACCCCGAATGCCATCCACACCCTAGAACGAGGAGGGCATAGACAGGTCAGGGAACAAGTCTGGGTTGGAAGGGCTCAGCGCCCTGACCGCAGCCCCTCATCTCCCAGCCTGGTGGCCAGTTACCTTGACACCTCGAGGTCCCGGGTATCCTAGAGGACCCTGAGGCCCAGAAGGACCCTGGAAGAAGAAAGAGGCATCCATGAAGGGGTCTCGGTGCCACTCAGGGGGCCGCAAGAGGCAGGAGAAATGGCACCACAGGAGCCTGGAGGAGATCACGGGGCCTGGGGCCACATGTCAGAGCCACAGAGATGAGACAAAAACCCAAGGGGCGTGGGGTCCCAGGTTTGCAGAGACTCCATTAGGGGATGAAAGGAGGCATGGCGGCTTACTTGGTTTCCTTTGGTTCCAGGGGGGCCTTCCTTCCCGGGGTGACCCTTAGGATAGATGGAGGAGAATGTGACCACAAGCCCCATTGTCTTTCTTGCACCCCAACCAAAATCCCCCTGTGACCTAACCATGCTGATTGACCATGGGCAGGCCCCACCAGTGACCACCCAGGGCAGGGGTAAGAAGTGGGGACCCACTCACCGGAGGTCCATCGGAGCCAGGCATGCCAGGGAGCCCTGGTTTTCCTCGAGGTCCCTAAAGGAAGACAGAAGGTTCAAGGTCATAAAGGGGTCATCTCTGAACATAGCTAAAGTCCCAGCCAGGCATTAAGGGCCCTACCCACACCCCTCCTCAGACATCCCCTGACCCCAGATTACCTAGTCACTTACCTTCTCTCCATGGGGCCCAATAGCACCCTGGGGCCCAGGGAGACCCTACATAAAAGGAGAGAGAAGTCACAGGGGCCTCACGACCTGGTGTTCCTGACCCTCACAGCCTCGTGCCTTGCCCCCTGTCTTCCAGCCCACACCCTCAACTCAGAGTATGTGAGACCCTTAATTTTCTACCCCCATCTGAGATCTGACCCACTGTGAAAGCCCAGGAGAAATTATGAGGTTGGGGAAGGGGCAGACAGCACCACTCACCTGAGTGCCAGGAGTGCCTTGTTGTCCAGGAGGTCCTGGCTCTCCCTGGGGCCCCTGGAAACAGGCCACCAGGCAGGGTCAAAAGGAGATGGTGATAGAATAAAGAAAGCAGGGAGCAAGTCTCAGTGGGCAGCCAAGAGGACAAGAACCAGAAGCAGGTTCCCTACCACCTCCCCTCTCCACCCACCTACATCCCTCACCCACTCACCAGGCTCCCTTTGGGGCCATTGGGCCCATCCATGCCTCGAACACCCTGAAACATGAGAGGGACGTGAGCAGGCCAAAGGGCAGGGCTGACCCTGCGGGGGACCTGTGGTTTCTGGGAGGCCCAGCCACTCCAGAGGGAGACAGAGCTGGACCTCCAATTCATCCCTAACATAACCAAACATAGCAGGCCCAGGGCCACAGGGCGTAGGTCTGAGGGTTTGTGGGTTGTTTTATTTTCCTGGAGGATTTTTCCTTTCTTCTTTTGTGGTTCTGGTCAGGGCCTTTCGAGCCCTGCACCCTTCACCTTTGGTGCTTTGCTGCCCTTCACAAGGGGGTGAAAACTGAAGCAGGGCTGGGGGTGGGGCAGCCAGCGAGGAGGAGCTGGAAGGGAGGGAGTTCGGAAGGGTGGGGTGTTCCAGAGGTCAGGGGTAAGATCAGAGGCAGTCACATACCGGAGGTCCAGGAATGCCAGGTGGGCCTTTGGGGCCAAGCAGACCTCGTGGTCCCTACATTCAGGGAGGGGTGTGGAGGGCAGAGAATGGCATGTGTGGGTAAGAGAAATGTTCCCCTTTTGTGCCCATATCCCTCGTCTGGCATCCTCAAAGTCCCCCCCAAGTCTGAACCCCAGAAAACTCACCGACTCTCCAGGCAGTCCCCGAGGCCCAATCTCCCCATCGTCTCCCTAAAGGAGGAGGACATGGTAAAGAAGCCATCCTCCAGACCTCTCCCACACCCCACCTCTGCCCTAATCACACTCACCCGCTCTCCGTCCTCACCAGGAGAGCCAGACAGGCCCTGGGCACCAGCATCACCCTGGAAAAGGGCAAACAGGAAGGAAGGACTCAGCCCCAACACAGGCAGACGCCGACCCTGGCCCTTCCCATTACCCAACAACTCCATTTCTTGGGCTCTGCTTCGACCCTCAGCCATCTTCCCTTGCCTTGATATCCTTCCCTCCCCCCTTCTCATCACCATACCCTACCCCCCAACACTCACCCTGTGTCCTTTCTCCCCAGGTAGACCAGGGAGTCCATCGAAACCACGGTCACCCTAAGGGGGAGGGGGAAGCCCAGGTGAGATCCCAGCCCCTTTCCCACCACAGTCCTCCCCACTGCGTTCTGAATGGGGCGGAGATGCTTTGTGGGGGAACCTGGGGAGCGGTCGTCCCCAGAAATCAAATGAGCTCAGGTGGGATGGGGCAGCAAAGCAGCAGGCAAGCCTGTTACCTTCACCCCAGGTTCCCCAGGCATTCCTCGGGCTCCGTCAGCACCTGCTCGGCCCTGGGGGGACAGGGACTGTCAGAACAAGCGGAAGACCCGCCCCGCTCCACACCTGACTCCCACCCACTCCCTTCCACTCCCAGCTCACCCTTCGCCCAGCCTTGCCAGGGGGGCCTGTGAGTCCCTGAGGTCCTCTGGGGCCCTGGTGAGGAAGAGTCAGGGTTAATGGGAAGCCAAGGGAAGACACTGTTTTGTGGATCAACTAGAATGGGGTGTCACCTGAGGTCCTAGGTCTCCAGATTCTCCTTTGAGGCCAGGGCTCCCAGGCTGTCCCTGTGAGAGAGAAGAGAGGATATTAACGTTGAAGGATGTACCCACTAGTAACCTCAAAACCCTCCCCAAAAGAATCAAAATAACATTCAACAACTTAATCTCTTTCCGGAACTATCTATATTCCCACATATAAATATAGGGTCCTCCTATATTTATATATAACCAGCACCCCACTCACTCACCAAGGGTCCAGGGCGACCTGTGTATCCCATGGGACCAGGGGGACCACGGAGCGCCAGCTAGGGATGCAGAGGAGACAAGAGCTGAGGAAAAGGCAGTGGAGCACTCCCTCCCCACCACACACACGCACACGCACACGCGCATACACACCCCTCCAAATTCACCTCTGCTCTCAATGCTGGTTCCACTGCCCTCTGTTCTCTCCAAGCTTCCTCTCAGTCCCAAACCAAGCCAGACCTTCCACTGCCCTGCGTTCACTCTAAACAGCCTTCCCAGCCCTCCTAGAGTCCGCCCTGTCCCACCACACCCCTCTCCACCGAGCTCTCCCCTGCCCCACTCACCCGTGCCTGCTGCAGAATGGCCTGGGCTTGGGCCTCCTGGGCCGCCACGACAGGGCCCTTCTCACCCGCACTGCTACCAAACCGGAACTGAGGGGCAGGAGAACAGGCTCACACACTCTTCCAGGAAATCCAAGTGACCCTCTAGCCAGAGGTGTCATCCAAGATTTCTGCCCCGTCTCCCAGGTTCTAGGTCACACCATGCCCTCTTCCAGGGCCTTCCAGCTGAGGTTTTCAGAAGTTCAAATCCTGCCCTCCTCCCCCACTTTCTAGCCTCCTTCTCCTGAAAGCCTCTCCCTTGGTTCTAGACCCCCTGAAATAAAGGATTTTCCATCTGGTTCTAGATGATCCAAGTTTGGCTCCAGAAGATCTAGGTTTGGTTCTAGGTCACTTCATGAGGCCTAGTCTCTACCATCTAAAGAGAGCAATCTCTTGGAGACAACTCCTTAGCATCCTGGCTTCCAGTTCTTGGTGACACAGCACAACCCCCCTGTCCTCCCCATCAGTTCATTCCAAAGACAACTTACTGGGAGCATAAGGGATGTGCCAGGAGGGCCAGGGGCCCCATCCGATCCAGGGAGCCCTGCTCGGCCGGGAGGGCCCTGGAGTAAAGAGAGAAGGAGAGGTGATAGATGTCGGGATACTGACATTGTTCTGAAACTCTCCTCGAATGAATAGATGTAGATTTCCCTAGATCGTTCTGGACCCCCCTTCCCCCATGGAGAAAAATGAGGGTGAGGCCCCAAACTACTCCCCCACTACCACCACCAGCCCCTCTTCTCTCCATTCTGGTTGCGAGGAAACACACCTGCCCCTCATTCATATCACTAGCCAATGAGGCATCACTGAGCATGGGTCCCTTACTGGGTACTAGTGGCTCTTCCGTCGCCCCCCAAACACACGGATACTCCCTTACCCTCTCTCCAGGGTCTCCAACCGGGCCTGGATTGCCCTGGATGCCAGGAGGACCAGTCAATCCCTGAGGGACAAAAGAGGTGGGAGTCAGGTGCAGGCTCCAGCAGAAAAGGGCATGTGGCAGAGGGGTGGTGTCTGGGGGAGTCTGGAGCTCTGAGAAGGGCTGGGCATGTGGGAAGGCACAGGGGAGAGTGTGTAGGAGAGGCCTCTGGAGGAAAGAATGGAGGTTAATATATCACATCAGACTCACCGCGGGGCCTTCTGGGCCAGGGGGCCCCTCCACTAGCATACCCTGCGGAGTGAAAGGTTTGAAGTCAGAGGCTGTAGGGCAAGTACCCTCACACACACACACCTTTCTCCCCTTCTTCCCCCCACTCTCAGCTCATTGACCAGCATGACTTACAGGTTCCAGCACTGCAGGCTCTCCCTTCTCTCCCTTCAGCCCCCGGGATCCACGGGCAGCCTGAGGGAGACACACATGTAGCCCCCAGCGGGACCCGTGAGCAGCCAGGACAGCAGGACTGCCCCCATCCCAACCCCACCTTCATTCCCAAGTCCTCTGGAGATGTCCCAGATCCTACTTCCAAATCCCCAGCCCTCCCCCTAAGACTTCCTCCACAATAGATCTCTCAGTCAGTCACGAAACCTCAGGGTCCCCCCTCCCCAACTCAAAGCCCTATCTCAGCAAACAAAACTCATCTACCCAAGAACCTCATCTACCCAAGAACCTCTTTTAGAAAGTTTTCCATAGCCTCTTTGGGATTCCAACACCCCACCCCCACCCCAGCTTCCCAAATCCTCTTCTAGAATAACCCCACCCATCCCTCTGACCCCCAAAATACTTAGAATTTTAAAGTCATTAATTTCCTCATCCTTACCCCAACTCATCAATTAAGAATCTCTTCTACGATAGTGGATAGATTTTTATTTGTGTTTGGAGGAAAGGCATAGATCCATATGAGAATCTAATGCAATCTATGCAATCTTTCTTCAGAAAAGAAAAAGTGTATGCCCATCTACACAGGACTTTGCTTAGAATTTCAAGAGGTTTACAAGTTAAGAGGCTCTCCAGAGGTTAAACATCCATACCCTAAGCAGATTTGGAGGTCAGTCTCCACTGATTTTCCAAACTCAGACTTTGTAACTAGTTTTTGGAAAAACACAGCTCTTGGGCTGTTATTCAAGCCCCAGAACAGATGTCCCTAACATCTCCTCTGTTTCTCTTCCAGCATAGCTGCTCCAATCTTGCTTTGGCCCTCAGGGGCACTCCAAGCCCACCAGCTCCCTCTCTTCCATACTTCCAGTCAAATGCCCACCCCCAACTCTAAAGCCAGAATCAAGGTCAGGACAAGGAGAATGGAGAACAATAGGACCACCCCCTACTCTTCCAACGCAGATCCTCAAGACCACCCTCCCACCGCCCCGTACTGGTATCCTGATCAAAAAGTAATGATCAATTTCCAAACACCCGCATAACCCAGATCAGCAAGGGATTTCTAGAAAGCGGCATAAAGGAAAAGCAGCAGACTGTCAACGGTAGCAATATCAGCGAGGGGAGATGCAGGATGAGCAGCAGGTTAAGGAGGCAGCTCTAACTGCAAAGCAGGCAAAAGATGCAACAGAGTAGGTAGGCAACACCTCAGCTGATGAGGGAAGACACTGAGCACCTGGGCCACACAAAGACAGAACAGAGACAAGACTTAGAAACAAGAATGATGCCAAGGCCAAGAAAAATCAAACACGATGGCTAGAGGTTGAATTGGACAAACAGGAAGTGGCAGAACAGATGGAAGCAGCCAAGAAAAGAGGATCCAGGAAGTGGCCCTTTATCAGCAGCATGGCTACTAAGGCCGAGAGAGAAAAAATTCACAGACAGACAGAAAGCGACTCATGGACAAGGGGTATGACAGTGAAATGCAACTCTTCCAGAGAACACAAACACCAAGGCTAGTGCACACAGGAAATGGCCATGACAATGACCCAGGTCCACAATGGACATTTTATGATTTGAACGACCTGAGACACACAGGAAGTGGCTGATTATCAAAGGAAATTGTCCAATATTAGAGGGGGTGGGAGGGCAAGATCAAAGGAAATTGTCACAAGACAGCAAGATAAACTACAGGCAAGACACAAACAACAAGTCCCTCTCAGTCTGACACAGTCACTGAGATGGACACCACAGCTAGTAAAGACAGGTGGTCAGAAAATGTGACGTGTGACATAGGAAGCCGGATCATTTAGCGCAACACGGATAAGAAATTGTTTTGACCAAGAAATGATGGTGACAGACTCAAAGTGGACACGAGGGGTTTATTGACTAAAGGCTTTATTATATCCAGCTTGATTGAGACAGGAAATGGACAAGAAGACAGGAAGTGACCATAGAGTTAAAAAAACAAAAAAATGCCCTGGGCAGAAGGACCCAGAAGGAGTCACAGCATAAGACATTTGGCAACTGAAGGCAGGAAGTAATCTTTTCAAGCACATACGCCTCATGTGAACAGAAATAACAAACCGCCAGTGGGAAGTAGCTCACAGCCAACAGGCAATACTTGGAAACAACAGGAAGCGACCCTTCTAGCTCTCTCTGCGAGCCAAGGATGGCAGAGAAGCTTCTTTCACTTACGGCTCCTGAGTGAGCTGTCTCCGCAGAGAGGGCAGGGCCAAGCTCCGTCTCCTCGCGGTAATCCCCATAGCCATAGGTGTAATCGTAGGGCCCTGTTGGGGGGTCTGTGCCACCCTCCCCATATTCCTCTGTCAGGAACCTGTCGGCTGTGGAGGGGACCTGGAGATCTGTCTGCTCCTTCCCAAGGACGGGGAGGGAGAGGGGTAGACAGGGGCATTAGGGCCAAGAGGTTTTCCCTGGGACCCAGGGTGTGACCATTTCTAGCCCAAGGGATTCTGAGGGTAATTGGGACTGGAGTTTTTCTCCCGAGAAGCACAAGGAGCAGCCTGAAATGGGGGATGACCACTGAAGGCTTCAAATGAGGAGGGATTTCCAGAAAGTGGGGTCAGTGGCAAGAAATGCTGGACAACAAAAGGGTGGCCGGAGGGCTGAACACGGAGCAGATGGTCCTGCACCCCTTTGTCTCATGAAAAGCAAGGGGGTCCGGGTATGACCAAAAAAATGGACGGAAAGATTGGGAGGGTAGAGAAAACTGAGCATTGGATAGAAAATGACCCCGGGGAACAGAAATAGAACAGTAAGATCGCTTGACACCAGCCCGGAGGGGAGTGTAGTCCACAGTCAGAGGCTAAGGCGAGCAGACACAACACTGAAGAAAAATGACGGTACTGACAAACAAGCAGACCAGGGGGTCTGGAGTGACCAGAAGACAGAGGCCACAGATGGAGATGACAAGAGCCCTCCGGCCAGAGGAGGCTAACTCATCAAGATGACAAGGGGCAGGGGAGGGCGTGACAGATGTCCATGGCTGGCTCCCACCAAGGTGAGGGTGGGGGATGGAGTTACCTCCTCAGGGGGTGGCAAAGGACTTGACTCCAGGATTCCTTCCTCTTCACCTGGGGTGGGGTCCTAGCCCCAAGTGGAAGGGGGAGAAGAATAGCAAGGGGGCAGGAAGGAAGGAGAGAGGTTAGCGTGAAGGGAGGCAAAGCAGCACCTCATTCCCCGAACAGAGAACAGTGTGTGTGCTGGGGGGTGGGGGAAATCTCAGATCTTGCAGTCCCTTCGAGGGGGGACAGTGAATCTCCGAGGTGATAGAGATTTGGGGGCAGAGATCTGGATACCCCGGCTCTACCTGCCGGTAACCGCTGCCTCTGGTCCTGGGGGGGGGCCGGGCAGTGGAGGGAGCTGCCCTCCGAGCTGGGCTTCGGGAGGGGGGAGGCTGGCCCCGAGCCGGGCGGGAACCTCCAATTCGAGAGGGCCTCCGGCCTGGTGAGGGGGACGCCTGCCTGGCCGCTGACCTCTTGGCAGGTGGGGTAGGCTTTCGGGGAGGGGTCCGACGCCCCCTGGGGAGAGGGGGAGCCCTGTGTTTGGGGCTTAGAGGGCGCTGCACAGAGAGACATGAGAAGGGACAGTGAGGAAACGCCCACAACCTAAATGTGCAGTGTCTCTCCCCAACCGATGGCAGGAGAGGAAGGTGTCACAGATGTCTATAAAGTGTGGGGGAAGGAATGGGAGAAGTGAAGGGGTCCCTCAAGTTTACCTGATAATCAGGGGTCGTTCCCGCAGTCATCTCATCGTAATAGGGGGGTTCGTAGTCATAGTAGACTGACTCAGTGGGCTGGGGTCAGGGGAGGGCAATGGGAACAGGGAGGAAGGAAATTAGCGGGGAGGGGAGGAAAGGGAGATGAGGAGGTAGTATGGGAGTTAAGGTGGGGACCAGAGGAAAGGTTGGGGGCCAGGAGAGAGATGGGGAGGGTGGAACAGGAAGGATGGGCCCCCACATGTGGGACAAAAGCAGACACAATTAAGAGATTGGCCCTCCCCTCTTCAGACCATTGACACCTGATCATGTCTGTCACCCTAAAAGTCTGGACCTCACCCTATTCAGAGTCTCCTTTCCTCCCTCCCCGCCTCCATCCACAGACCCTTATCCTGCACCTCCAAGTACAGGGGCCCAGAGACAGCCCAGCCCACTTCTCCTTTGGGATTTCCTCTGTCACTTTCTCCTTCCTCATTTCTCCCTGGGTCTTAACCATTTCAACTTCTTTCTCCCTACTCTGCTCTCCCAGCCCCCAAGTCTGTATCCCCACTCCCCCAATCTCTTAATTCAAGGAAAGGATGGGAGACCCCAGGACACAGTTCCAGGAAGACTCGCAGGGGATACAGCTCCCAGCCAGGAATTCTTCATATGTCTCTTTTTATTTTTCAATGAAAATAAAAAGGCTGATGAATGAGGGCTATGAGAGGGGTGATGGGAGCTGGGAGGTATGTTTGGGAAAGGGAGGGAGGGAAAGGAGAACAAGAGTCTAAACTAGGCTGGAGAGCTCTGGAATACTGGGGAGATGGATAAGTATCCTCCCTCCCTGGGCTGCGCTGCAGTTGGGGGTTCTCCCGGCTCCCTCACCTGTTGCTGGGGTTCCTGGTTCTGTGGCCTATGAAGTCTGGATGGTTGCTGCTTCGGAGATCTCTGGGCTCTGCGAGATTGTTGGTTCGGAGGTTTCTCCCTCTGACTCCCCTCACACTCCAGCTCCTTCTGATCACAGGATTCATATGCAGTTTGCACCCCTGGAACAATGACGAGCTCCTGGACATCACCCTGCAGAGACATGAAAAGGAAACAATGATGGAGGGAGGCAGAAGGCTCCAGAGACCAAGGGTATAGGCTGGACAAAGGTGAGACCAGCCCTAAGTAAAACTGTCTAAGGGGAGAAGGTCAGTGTCAGCCTCCCTGTATGCCCTGCCCTCTCAAAGGGTCTTCTCACACGTCCTCCCATTGGTCCTTCACAACAGCTGGAAAAGTCGGTACGACAAGGATCTCTGTGCCCACTTTTCAGACACATTACAGCCAGAAAAGCTGAAGGCGGCAATTACTAGCCCAAGGTCCCCTACCATGGTAGAACTCAAACCGTCCAACTCTAAATTCACTAGACTTGGCCTTTCCTGCCCTAGTGGGTCATGCATGAGCCTTTCCACAGGAGTTTCTGAAGACAGTGGCCTGGGCTTAGATGCCTTGACCTTCCAGTGCTGGTGATAAGAATTCTCAGGATCTCTAGAAATGGGGACATAGGGAGTCACTTCCAAATTCCATTTATTTGTGTCCACACATGATGCTTAGCACACCTTGTCTTGTTGTATGATTTAGGATAGTAGCTCATCTCCAGAGTCAAACTGAGAAGTCCCTGGGATAATTGAGATCTTGTGTTATTCTGTGTTCCCAGTAGCAATGGGATAGCAGGTATTCCAGAAATGCTAATAGCCTGAGTGGGTTGAACAGATGGGTGGATGGGTAAGTGGGGAAACAAGACTGAGTGGATTCTGAATGAATGTATGCATGGCTGGTTGGTAGGCAGATTAATGGAAGGAGCAGGTAAGTGGAGACACACTGGTAAGTAGGTGGATGGAAGTGACTATGGGTGAATGAATGGTTGGGTGGGGAGTGGGTGGATGAGAAGATGGGAAGGTGAATGGATAGATGGATACATGAACATTTACGTGCATGGGTAGAAGGGGTAGGTGGGTGAATGGTTGAGTGGATAGGTGGAGGGAAGGACAGAGGGCAGCTTAAAGAAGGGAGTGGCAGAGCAGGGAACGGGCGGGCAGGTGTGTGGACACAGCCTGAATGCTGGGTGAATGTATAAATGGACGGATGGGTAAATGGGTTGGTGGACAGATAGATCAGTTGAAAGATGGCTGGATGGGCAAACCAATGACTGAGTAACAGACTAAGAGACTGTGCATGGTCCTGCCATATGTGGACCCCTGGTTTTCCTAGAGAGAAAATTCACCTTGAAGATAAGAAATGGAAACAAAATAAAGCACATGATAGGGAAAACGAAGGGCTAAGGCATGGGAAGATAGAGTACTGGAGGCAGAAGTCGAGCAGGCACCCGTTACAGCACCGGAAATCCCTCCTCTCTCAGATTTCTCTGGTTACCTCAAAGACTTCTTCATCCAGGATACGGGCGCCAAAGATTATCACACCATGGGTGTCCAACACCGGACGAACACTTCGGGGAAGGGGACGGGTAACTCTCTTCTTACAGTCAACTATGAGGGTGACAGACTGGCCCTTCACAGCCACAGCCACCCGGTGCCACCTGTCATGGGGGAGAGGTTCAAGTGACTAACAGAAAGGGGGGATTCAAAGGGCTGGGGTGCAGTAATAACAGAGCAGTAATCACAAGACACTTCTTTAGTGCTTATAAATGCTCTTCCCATTTGATTTTTAAGCTTCTATTGTCCCTATTTTCCAGATATAGAAACTGAGGCTCAAAAAAAATCAAGTAACTTGACCACGGTTCAGAGGATCCTCCCTGCAAGGATATAAAATCTAAAGTCCAGGCTCTGGGCTGGAAGTGAACAAAGTGTTGTCAAGTGGGCAGTGGGTCAAGTGTGACCAAAAGGGTTGGCAGGCTTTCCTAGTTGAGGGAGCAGTGATTCTGAGGATGGCAGCCAGAAGACAGCCCCTGAAAGGTAGGCCAAGCTGACCAGAGCCCCAAACTGACTTACTTGCCATCTGCGAGGCTGAGGCCTCGGAAGACGGGCTGAGCCGGGGGTCGAGGCCGCCCAGTCTGGTCCTCATACAGGAAGCGCACAGGCCGGCCAAGCTCCAGGCCCAGCTGGCGGACACCCTGGGCACTGTAGAGAGTCAGGAGGGGAGCCTGCAGCCCAGGGCGGGTCCGGACAGCAGCCAGCAGAGAGAAATCTTTGGGGAAGCCTCCTAGTACCAAGAGAGACACACAAGTGGAAAATCGGTAGAGGGCCATAAACCCCTTCCCTTCTAGAGTCTGGTCCCAGACCCTCCCCCGTGACCTCCTTCTGGTCCCAGAAGCTCCCCTTCTCCCCCTCACATCAACCATACCTGGGAAGAGCTGGCGTGTGGGTGCACTGAGCTGGGCAGGTCGGGATACTCGGTAGGCCACATCAGCTGGACAGATGCCCCTTGCCCTCCGGACACCATCAGGGAGGGTGGGGAACCTCAGGGCCCGAAGCACATCCACAGAGGCTGCACCTGGGAGAGTCCAGGAGGGTCAGAGTCAGGATATGCCTAGAAAGGGCACACTTGGGGTCTAGAACTCAGCTTCCCGGGGCTCAACCTTTCTGGAAGGCAAAGATGAACTCTTCTTTACTTGCTCAGGAATGGCCCCTGAACAGAAGGAAAGGAAACCAGAGTCACCTGGGAAAAGGCATCATGGGCCCCAGTCAGTCCCATGCTCTCCCCTGCCCCTCCCCCGCCAGCCTCTCCCTTCAGCCCTTCTCTGCTCACTCCTTGTCATCGCTGTCACCTTTCCACAGGTCTCTCCTCTCTGTGTCTTACTCTCTTTGTCTCTGTATTGGTTTTCCTGTCTCCCCATCTCGCTGTCCTCCCCCACCTTCCTCACACTCTTTTTCTTTCCCAGTCTCCCTCCTGCATTCTCACTTCTTTTCCCTATCTCTTAGTTTCTCAGTCTCTGGCCTATGTCCCGTGTCTCCAGCACAAACAACATCTGGGCAATCCATCATCCTGGGCACAGGAGGTACAGGGGGGCATCACCAGGGAGGGAGCACAGGGGCAGTTCTACGGGGAAGTGGCTTCAAACTGCCCTGCTTCTTGAATGTGGGGAGGTGGGCGCCAGATGAGGAAGTAGATACAAGGCAAAGTCACCCCAGGAGTCTGTGCCCCAAGCTTAGGAGACAGGCTGGGGGGTGGGGAGACTGAAGCTGCCACGCAGAACCGGAGCTGGTCCAGGGCCTCCAGCCATACATCTGTGGATCCCATCAGCGTCCTCGCCCAAATGCAGGCAAGCTCCCCACACCTGGAACCAGCACCCTGTCCCACAACCCAGCACCAGCCCTATCCATCTAGAACCCAGCTCCATAAGGCTCACACACCAGGGAAGATAAAAGTCACCCCTTGTGTTTCCCCAACACACACACTTCTCACACCACCAGCTCCAGATTGGAAAAATCCCAAAGAAAGTTCCAGCAAAAACGTTCACAGAAGTGTGGGGTAGGGCAAGGGCCAGGGCGATCAGGAGAGCAGAGCTGGGTGGGGTGAGGTGGGGCGGGCAGGCAGAGAAAAGGCCCTTTGAGTCCAGGAGCCTGGAAACCACGGCCTTGCCTCCCCAACCCCCCCTCACTAGCCTGGCCCCCACGTGTGGCAGCTCCGCAAACACCAACACACAAGGGCCGCTTTGAAAGGCGAAGGGTGAGTGAGACAGAGACACAGAGACTCACAGAGACCCCAGGCCAAGGAGACCTCAGAGGCCCCCGCGCCCCACCAAAGCCCAGTTCCATCCTACAGGCAACCTACCCACAAGCCTGCCCACCCGCTCCCCAACTCAGTCCACCGATGGGCCCCACTGTCTCTGGCCTCAGTCCGCCCCACAGGCTCCCACCGCTGCTCTACCCCATCACCCCAACACGAGACCTCTAGCCACCAAATGCCCTTGCGAATTTCACACTAGCCCATTTCCCTGAGCAGTCCCACCTCCACCCGCTCCACCCCCAAATAAGAGGCAGTCATCTCCACCTTGCCATGCCCCTGCCTCCATGCTAGAGGGCCCCTTTTCCCCCAGAAAAACACCCAGTCTACAGACTTCAATTTCCTGGTCCCTGAACCTCACATCCTCCCACCTTGGAAGTTCTTCCTTCTGTAATCTAATCTAAAGTCTTTATGATGCTATCTGTTCATTTCCTCTCCAAAGCAGAGAAGAAATGAAAAGTCAAGTTATGTGCAAACCAGCCACCAGAATTTGCAGGAAAAGGGGGGATGGGTGAGATTGCTCCAGCTACCTGGGACCTAAGTGCTCCCAGCCCCTCCTTTCTGACATCGATCCTCTCTCCTAGGAGCCAGGATTTCTAGATCCTGGGAAAAAGAAGGAAAGGATTGGGGTTGTGGACACCAGGGTCCCAAGGGAGCCCTGCTGGCCAGAGGGGGAGGGGTGGGGCAGGAATGCAAAGTGTTGGCTCCCGCCTGAGACACCTGATCCCAGCCTGTCCAGCAGCAGTCCTGTTGGCAGCCAGCCCCAGTGCTCCCCAGAGCCAGCCGCGTGGCAGCATCGAGGGCACAGGGAGGGGGAAGGGGATCCTTTTGGGGAGCCAGTGGGACAAATAGTTCAGGTGCCCCCCCCTTCCCCTACCTCCTACTAGGCTCTGCTCTGGCCCACAGATGCTTCCCCTCAACCCAGAGATACATACAGAAGGCCCAGAAGACATACTCATACCCTTACCCCTGGACACTGGCATCTACCCCATACCCACCCCAGCAGTGGCTGGACCACACCCGCCCTGACCCTCTTAAGTTCAGGCAGAAGGCCCCAGCATCCAGGTCCTCTCACAGGGCACCAAGGAGCATCTCCACCTTCAGCCTTACCTGCCTTCTCCTAGTCACTCAAGAAGGAAAAGAGATCCTCAGCCTGGCTCTGAGGACCGAGGGTGTCCTTTCCTCCAGCCTGGAGCCTTGACACTCCCTCATACTCCTTTTGGGACTCAGAATCAGCTGTCTCCTACCACGGGACACTCAGAGCTCCAGTATGACTCTGGCAACTCAAACATCGGGTCACCTCTTACCTGCCCAGCCAGGGGCAGCGCTCAGCCCCAACACCAGCGGCACCAGCAGGACCAGGCGATGGCAGCGGCTGCACCGCTCCATAACTGGTTACCCGGGACCGGATCCCAGCGACCCTGAGGCTGCTGAAGGAAGCTCGAGGCTGACAGGAGAATTAGGCTGTGAGCCTCGGACACCTGGGTCCCCAGGAGATCAAAGGCTGTCGGGTGGTGACAGCTCTCAGCCACCCAGCTCCATGGAACGAGGCGCCGTCAAGGCTCCGGGGCTGCTCCCTCCTCGGTGGCCGCCGCTCCAGTGTGTCCCGGGCCACCTCGGCAGCCCAGAGCCCCTACCTCGCCCCCGCCCCCGGCCCAGCCCCCGCCTCCAGCTGCCCGCCCACAGCCACCGAAAGGAAACCCCACCCTCGATCTCCACCTGGGGAGGCGGGGCGGGAGCCTTCCCCCGCCGACCCTTGGACTGCTCTCCCCGGCTCTTTGCAGGGATTCAGTGTCCTGTACCCTAAGATTCTCTTTTCTGTAACCCCAATACTTCTTCCCCAGCCCTTTCCTTTCTAGGTCCCGGATGTCACATCCCCCCCCCCAAACCCCAGTTCACTCCCTCTTGAGAGGCTAGAACCCCCTTTTTGCAGAGTCCTGGGCGGGACTAAGGGCACTGTCAGTGGGTGGAGAGAGGCGGGACTGAGGGTCTCTACCTCCCCCCCCCCACACACACCCCACCCCACCCCCCTCCCCTACACAAGATCTCCATAATTACTTCCACTGGCCCCGCCCGGTAAAATTACAGAGCCCGGCCTGGGGCTGGAGTATTTATAGACCAGGCTATAGATAGCGACTAGAGACCAGCCACTCGATGACCGGTGGGGGGGCGGGGGGGGGTGCCGGGCGTCAGAAGGAACCGGCGAAGGGACAGAGAGAGGCCAGAGACTAGACTGACCCACAAACACATGCTCATCTGGCCCAAGGATATGAAAATGGGGCTTCCAGGTAAGGGGATGCGGGAGCCCAGGTGGAAAGGGACCCAAGGAAAAAGTGAGTAGTGAGCACTAGTCGGAAGCGCCCGGAGAAACCGGGTCATTCAGGGACGAGAGGCCGCCTCCCGGCAGGCAACGCCTGAGTCCGCCGCGCTCAGCGCCCAGTGCGCCCCCACGAACGGGCACCGCGCCGGGTCTGCCCGGAGCCCGCGGCGCGACCGGAGAGAAGACGCGAGCGAGCGGAGACGCCGCCGCCCGCTGGCGCTAGGAGGGCACAAGCGAACAAGGCGCCTTTGAGAACCAGCCGCCCCCCCTTCCTCCTCCCGCCGGCCCCGCCCCCAGCCTGGCACACCCTCTTCCCCCCTCCCCGACAAAGCGTGCCTTGTGTCCCCCACCCCGCACCCGCCTCTCGGCCCCAGGGAACCTCGGCGGCGGCAGGGGAACCCGCCGAAGCTCCCGACCGGATACACCCTACCCCCAGGTCAAGGCAGCGCTGCTACCCCCCACTCTCCTCTAGCCCCGCCAAGAGTCACCTCGGTACAGAAAACATCGATTTTAATTTGAAAGCGATTTTATGTGTGAGTAAAATGAGGGGAAAGGAACTGCAGAGAAGAGCTGCAGGGCAAAAAAATCATGCAGCCCCGACACCCATCTCTGCGAGCTAGCCATCTCCCCTCAATGCTCAGGCCAGGATCCTGTGTCCCCAGCCTGTACTCTGTATACCCAGGGCTGGGGGGAAGCCGTGAAGGGAAGGGCTTGAGGACTACTCGCCAAACCATCCCCTAAATGGCTCAGCCATGCCAGCTGGGGCCCCTTCTCCTAGTTAGATAGAAAGAGATGGGGGAGGGGAAGGCCACTGCTTGAAGAGCCCCAGGGACAAACCATCTCAGGGCCCAGCCTTTCCCCACACCACCTCCACCCCTGGCATTTCTCAGTCAACCTGGGGAAGTACAGTACTTCTTAGAGTCTAACTGCAAGTCTCTATCCTTAGAGGAAATTAAAAATAGCAGATGGGTTCTTAGATCTCCACCCGCCCCTTAACTACCACCACCTTTGTATTTTTCAGTCTGACTGCAGGTGAAGGATAAAAGGGGACTCTGGACTGGAGACAACAGGGCCCCCTTCCCTCTTCCACAATCACCCCCATCTGCTGGGCGTGGTTAAAGGAAGGTCTGTCAGAGCATTACTCCCATGTTCATCAATTTGGGGGGTCCTGCCCCCCAAATCTATCTCTGGAGAAGTTCCCATTTCCACTCTTCAGATGGGAAGTTTAGTGAGACAAGATGAGAAGAAAGCAAAATCCTGGGAGCAAGGCCAGTGCTTTGTGCTGAGAGAAGGAGAGTGTTCCAGGTAGGGGGTAAGAAGTCACCCCAAGTCATGGGAAACTCAGACAAATTCAGAGACTCAAGGCCACTGGAGAGATCCAGCCCTCACAGGAATCTGGGGTCCCTCTGACTTAGGATGTCAACAAACCCCTTGGAAGTCTCAGTTCTGCCCTGTACTCCTCACCTCACCAAGGTTCTAGGAACACGGCCCCTCCCCACCCTGCCCCAAGACTTGGGAGTCCCTGTCCAACATTCACTCCTCTGAGTGTGAGGAGCACCTCATCTGGGTCTGGGCTCAGGCCAGCTGATGGGGAGCCTCAAGCATTTCCATGAGGAAGGTGTCAATGGGGGTGTCGCCAATGAGCTTGAAGAAAAACAGATGCTCTAGACACTTAAGGCCGATGGACCTGAGGGCAGGAAGACGTAGCAGCAGCTTGGCAAACCTGAGTGGGGAGTGGGAAGAAATGAGTGAGAGCTGGAATCACATGCGCCCTGAACACACCCTTGTGACCTCCCCCCACACACCCCTAAGGGACCTTAGTCCCCACAATCCCTCACTCCCACAACTCTCTCACCGTCCCTGCTGCTCAGGGTACTTCTGTTTGCAATAGGTCTCCAGTGACGCATACACTTTCTCCCGTAGTACCTCCACTTCACTGGGGTTGGAGAGGCCCTTGGCATCTGGGATAGCAGGGAAGACAGGAAGAAGAGGAAAGAAGACAAATGAAATGGGATGAACACGGAAATGTGGCCTACACAATGTTCCTTTTGGGAGCCCCCTCCCCGGATAACTGGCAAGGGAGTAGGGTGTGTTGGGTTTGTAGGATGGGCTCCAAAAGGGGATTTAGCTGTACATTTAGACTTTTCTTGGTCAGGTGAGATATTTCTGGGCTGAGGGTCTTATTGAGGGGGATAGTTGGGTAACTTAGGAGTCTCCGGAGAAGAGGAGGCTCCAAGATTGCCTTGGTCTCGAGAAACAGGGGTGATCCTCCTCTTACCTGGGTTGAACAGAATGATTGCCCTCAGGCAGCCAAGCTCTGTCTTGTCCATCCTCATGTCCCGCATTTTGGACACTAGCTCTGTCAGCACCCTGGAGAGGGACCTGCAGGTCACTCAAAGGTCACAGCTCAGCCAGCCTTGGACACGGACCAGCCTATAACCCCACCCCATCGACCTACAGGCCCGCCTAGCCGAGGGCCACTGACCGATCAAAGATGGCTCCCACGCCTGCAGAATGGGCTGAGTTGCGGTGCACATGAAGGCCTGTAGCGAGGAGGATGCCATCTCGGACATCAATGGATCGGTGGGAGAAAGAGGCAATGAGGAGCTCGTTCCAGCCTGGGTGGGGTGCAGCAAGGGTCAGAAGCCAGAGATCAGGCCATGGGATTCAAAGCAGATTGGGGAAGAGGAGAAGAGGTACCAAGGTCAATGAGCTTAACTCCCTGAGGATGCAAGCATGCACTGGGGTCACTGGAGGTCAGGAAGTCAAAGAAGTGAAAAGGATTCAAGGTCACTGACCTGCCCGCAGCAGTATGACCTGGTCATCCAAAGGCAAGGAAGAAAAGTGTGGGATCCTCTTCGCCCACTCAACAAGCGTGAACAGCTGTTTGTCAGCTGCCTGACAGATGTTAGTCACAGGGTCATTTGGCTGCAGGGGATGGGGAGTAAGAGTTATGGAAGATGTGGAGGTATAATGTGAGCCCCCCCACCCCTTGTAAGAGACTCTGACATCACTCATTAGGTGCAGTCTCTTCAACTCCCATCTGAACCAATCTCTATAAATCACACTTCTCTTCTACCATTCACGAAAACAATTATCTGAGAGCTGCCTGTGATTCTGCCAGTGGGTTGCTTTGGGGTGGGGTGAGAGGAAGCCAGCACACCCACCTCAGATGTTTGAGAAACCTTGTTTAGCAGCTCTTCCAGTCTCAGGCAGTGTTATGAGGGTTGAGAGGGGAGGGAGGAGAGGGGACGGAGAACAGACCTAGACTCCCACTCCCACCCCCATCAGGAAGAAGAGTGGATCAACCCCATCACTCACGCTGCTGCCGCTACCCCCGGTTCCCCCAGGACCCTCAACGCCCTGGTCACTCTTCTGCTCCACCGCAAGCTCTGCCTCCAGGATCCTGTCCACAGGCATCTCCTCGGGGGCTCCCCCAGCCCCCTCCCCATCCCCATCCTTGTCCTTTCCCCGCTGACGCTCCTCCTGTACCGCTGGGGGGGAGGGGCAAAAGGGGGAGAAAAAGTGAAAAGTCAGCAGCCAGCTCTGAGGGGGTTCCAAAATGTCTTCAGGGCCTTATCAGGGACTCATGGCCCTTAGGAGGTATTTATAGTCACTAGAAACAACACTGGGTTGGGAAGGGGAGCGTGCAGTCTGGAAGCAGGGGTTACACAAGGTCAGATTAAATAAGCCAAGAAAGAAAAGGAAAGGGGAAGGGAGGGTAAAGGGTTAGGGGAAAAGCTAACATTTCAACTGAGGGCCCACCACAAGCTTAGAAATGTGAAAAGCATATTTTAACATTCATCCAATTTTTACAAGAACACTGTGAACTCTTATAGCCCCTTTTTCAGATGAAGAATTGGGGCCTTCACATCAGAAGTGAAGGCTTGGCCAAGTTCACACAAAACATGGCAAATCATACATCTGTATCCAGGAGCACCTGACCATGATTCTTGTGTTCTGAATAAACTAACAGGTGGTGAAAGGAGCACTGGCCTGGGTGGGCCTCCAGAGATGGGATACCGCCCATGCCACTCTCAGGGTATATGACCCTGGGAAAGCCAGGTCTCAGGCTCAGCTTCTCTAAAATGAGGGTTTTGATCAAGAAAATGTTCTCTCTCAGAATTTCAGAATGAGATGTGAGAAAATATGATAGAAACTTAAAAAAGAAGGCATGTCATCAGAAAGGTCTGCAGCAGAAGAAGGTAAAGGCAGAGCCCACAGGAGACACCACAGAAAACAAGGATACAGACCAGAGAGAGTGCACTGGGCCAAAGGGAAAAGAGACTATTAGGTATGAGAAGGAGGTAGAGAAAGCCATCTTGGGAAAGTTATCCTACTCTAGCAACAGATCAGGGAGGGCCACAAAGATAGGATCATTAGGACAAAAATTCAAGGGACCAACCAGACCAAGGAGAAGGGGACCTAGGAGAAGAGCTAATGAAGAGGGAAGAGAACTCAAACACTGCCCTCTGGAGGAGAGAACAGTCCAGTCCTGAGAGGTACACAGTCTGGGCTTCAGGGGTCCCTCCACACCCACCTCTCCCACAGATTTAGACTGAGAAGCCTGGTAGGAACAGTCCCTTACCCTCCCTCTTCATGCCAGTGGCCAGGCACTTCTGATAGCGGCAGTACTGACAGCGGTTCCGCTGGCGCTTGTCCACAGTGCAGTCCTTGTTGTCCCGGCACGAGTAGGTCAGATCTTTCCGGATGGTGCGCTTAAAGAAGCCTTTGCAGCCCTCACAGCTGTAAACCCCATAGTGTTTGCCTGGGGTGGCAGGGGGAGAGAAAGAAACAGTAATAACAGCATGGAGACTCCTTGCCATTAAGTCCCATGCCAACTTCCCTCCAGCAACTCAGTTTAAGCTTATTCTGTGTCAAACACAGAGGGAAGAACCGGACATGAGAGATGATTCAGTCCCACCTTCCTCACTGTTCAAAAGTACTGTTAACAGCCCCCACTTCCCCCTGGACACCCTCTTCCCACACCTGAGCTTCAGGTTCTTTAGTTTTCATTGGGCCTCCCCAACGTCACTCCCCTAGAGAAACCCCACAAGTCCTAGGAACCCCACAGCTGACAGCAAAAGGCAGATTCTCTTTCTTCTTCTCTAGGTCCCATACCTGAGCTCCGGTCCCCGCAGATTGCACAAAGTCGTTTGCCAGCCCCAGGGCCACCGGGAGGGGGTGGACAGTGCAGGCCCCGGACCCCTAAGACCGGTGGCTTCACATCTTCAGGGGGGACAGACCCACCCCCAGGGAGCGACACTGTTGAATTAATCTGGGATGGGGAAATAGGGAGTCACAGGGGGACTCATTGGGAAGAAGAACCTCTCAGGGGTGACAGAAATCAATTCCTACCACATAGGCAGGGTCCTGCATTGCACATTCCAGAGGGCATTACTTACACTGCAGTCTATGTAAAGGGCCACCTCTGGGGCACAATACCAAAGATATTAGACTTACAGTTCCCCCTGAAATTGTGCACCACAGTTGCCCTGAAGGGCATGTATCTCAGGAAGGTAGATGGGACCAAAAGGGCAGAAAATCACTGACAGATGGAAGGGACATCAATAATATCAGGGTTTCCTAGGATTGTCAAGGAAGCATGCACTGAAAGGTTAGTCACCTTAGGAAGGGTGAGGGGTCTCACAGGACCACAGGCCTGCCAAGATTAGAGGACTAGAAAATCAGTGGGCCTCAGGGAAGTTCACACAAGGATCTTGGCTCACAAGGAAACAAGGGAATGAAAGTAGAGAGGCAGTAAATTGGTCACAACCTCTCACCTGGGGACTGCTGACAGGCCCGGAGAATCCAGGGGGAGCTGGAGGGGGCAGACCAGGGGACCCCATGGAAGAGCTGATGACAGGGAAGGGGGAACCCAGTGGGGGGGGTGGCATCGGGGGTGGGGGTGGAGCCCCTGAGCCGCCAAGGGATGGGGCTGCTGAAGAGGGTAGGGGTGGCCCAGGAGAGGGGGGAGGGGCGCCCTGGGGAAGGGGATTAGGGGAAGAACTATCTGGGCTTCGGGAATCTGAGGGAGGGGTACAAAGAGGCACAGAGAGACACAAACAGGAGAGACAAAAAGAGAAAATGAGTCTTCAATTGATCATTCAACTAGAGACTTTAATTCTCTCTCTGATCCCCCCACTTTCTCCCCCCCCACACACTCCACTGCCCTCATCCATCCCCAAGTCATCACAGTACAGTTTAACTTCTAATTGTGGTGAGAGGTAGTGGATGAAAGACGAGGAGGATTGTGCAGGTGAGAAAAAACAAACAAACAATGTATCTCGTGACCCCAAGCCAGAGGCAGCTCGAGTAGGTGAGGCAGCACGTGGTGTGGACCATACAGGCCCTCCATTCCCAGCTTGTAGCTGGAGCGTGCAGGGAAAAGAAACAGTTGGAAGAGACCGCGCCTAGGACGCAGGACCTGCCTTCAAACATCCAGAGTCCTCAAGCTGCAGGGATCGTGTCCGTGTCCCACGCCCGGGGCCTCGGGTGTGCAGGGCCTCAAGCGGCCACGGCTATCAGGGCGGAAGCTCCCCGCCCCGCCCGGCCCCGCCCCGGTCGGAGGGGGGGGCGCTAAGGTCCTCGAGAGGGAGGGGACGCGTGTTTACAAACAAGGGGGCGGGAGCGGCCGGGAAAGAGCGCAGGGGGAGAGGGGGGAGGGGCTGCTGATAAAGCGGTCACGGGCCCGCCAGTCCGTCGGCTAGCACACTCACCCCGCCCGCTGTCGCCCATCCCGTCCCGTCCAGCCTCCCCCGGCTCCAGCTCCGGGGTTTGTTGTTCTCCGGCTGCCGCCGCTGCTGCCGCCGCTGCCGCTGCCGCGGGATCCAGCCAGGGCCGTCGCCGCCGCCACCGGGACGCGACCCCACAATGCATTTCTTTTCGCACCCCCACCGGCCCACACTGCCCCGCGGCATGCCGCTGGGGGAGGAAGGGCGGGCGTGAAGCCCAAGACATGATTCCTGGCTGAGTGTAGGGATGTCTAAGAGGTATACCAAGGATTGATAGGGGACTAGCTGAGCACCAGGAAGTCCCAGAGAATAAGACTCTGGCCTGAACCGGATCGAATTAAGAGCTTCGCTCTGCTCTGTACCAAAATGACAGCGCCGAAGTGGCAGCCATCTTGGTATAGACGGGAAGTCTCCGCGCTAGTTCCCGCCCCCTCGTCTAGTTGGAAACGGAGGAGGCGGTCTCCTCGGGCCTGTTAGCTGGCCTCGCCCAGCCTCCCCTCAAATAACCTCCGCATCCGCGCACGCGCGCCACGGCAAGGCCGCTTCTCCCCTACCGGAGTGTCTCCATATTGGTAAAGGTATTGGGACGGCGATCGAACGGAACTTCCTGTTCTCGCGGGAGTTAGAGGCGGGACTGCCACGTCCGACCTAACCGGGAAAGGAGAGGATCCCGGAGCCGGTGAGAACTCCCTGTTTTTCCCTACCATCCTTTCCAGACCTTTTTCTCCACCTGGGGGGTCATAGAGACGAGGGCCCAGAGAGACCCTAAAGTGGAGGATCAAAGCCTAGAGCGGCATTCCGGGGCCCTACATCCGGGAGGGGGAGAATGAGCCCTGGAAACAATGTGGGTGGGAACCGAATGGAATGGGAGCGTGCCCCATAGAAGTGAACGGAGGGCGTGAGCGGAGTTAAGCGGACCCTGCCTAAGTATAGAGTTGAGGGTCAAGCGGAGTCACTTTCTCTGTCCCTCTGGTCAGCGTGATGGCCAGAGGCCTGGGGGCACCCCATAGGGTGGCAGTGGGACTGCTGACCTGGGCGGCCTTGGGGCTGCTAGTGGCCGGACACGGGGGTCATGGCGAGCTGCACGAAGACCCGCACGAGGACTTCCATGGCCACGGTCACGGCCACAGCCACAGGCACTCACATGAGGATTTCCACCATGGACACAGCCATGCCCATGGCCATGGCCACACTCACGAGAGCATCTGGCATGGGCATACTCACGGTCACGACCATGGACATTCACATGAGGATTTGCACCATGGCCATAGCCATGTGCACAGCCATGGAGGCTATGGGGAGTCTGGGGCTCCAGGCATCAAGCAAGACCTGGACACTGTCACTCTCTGGGCCTATGTGAGTCCCCAAAGGATGGGGGAGAGAGGGGCTGGTTCTGGATTATTGACAAGCCCAGCACCACTTGACCCTGACTCTTATTCACTAGGCACTGGGGGCCACAGTGCTGATCTCTGCAGCTCCATTTTTTGTCCTCTTCCTTATCCCGGTGGAGTCAAACTCCCCCCGGCACCGGTCTCTGCTCCAGATCTTGCTCAGTTTTGCCTCAGGTGGGCTCCTCGGTGATGCCTTCCTGCACCTGATCCCTCATGCCCTGGGTAAGTGATCTCTTGCTGTACATCAAATCTTAATATATTTTATTCTTTGAGTAAGGGTTCTTTCCCGTTTATCTCTAGTTTTCCCCCAGATGCACAGCACTTGGATTCAGTATGCCCATGTCTGACCTTTTCTCCTTTTTCTTCCAGAGCCTCATTCTCACCACCTTCTGGAGCAACCCAAGGGACATGGACACTCCCACAGTGGTGAGGAAGGAGCAAAATAAAATGAGGGCTGGGATGCTGAGGAGGGCCTGTTCCTCCCTATTCTTCTGTGCTTAGAGCAGAGAAATGTGGAATCCACATCTCCCTTAATATCCCAATGCTTCCATTCCCAGGCCAAGGCCCCATTCTGTCTGTTGGACTATGGGTCCTTGGTGGAATTGTCGCTTTTCTTGTGGTGGAGAAATTTGTAAGACATGTGAAAGGAGGACACGGACACAGTCATGGACATTCTCACAGCCACACGCATGGAAGTCAGGCTCGTGGAAAACGGGGTAAGCCCAGGAATACAAGTCACCTTGCCCGCCCCATCATATGGCTCTTAGGTGGGAGATTTCTTTGAAGATATATGGGGACATCTCTTATCAACTCTTTTGTTTCCTCAGAGCATTCTTCAAAGGAGAAACAGAGTTCAGAAGAAGAGGAAAAGGATGCAGGAGGGTCAAAAAAGAGGAGAGGAGAGATCATGGGGTCCAAAGATGGGCCAGTCAAATCTGAGAATTCTGAAGAGGAAAAAGCAGGTTCAGGTGAGAGTTAGCTGGCACTACACCTGGGCAAGGGGTATCATTGTGAATCATGGAATATGCACTGTGGGTAATGGCAGGTGTCTGAGAAACACGGAGGGGCTAGGTCTGAAGTGGTCTGGGAATATGCTTATAGCTGACTGGCGCTGGGATGAGGAGTGCTGGATGTCTCTAATCATCTCCTCCTTGTACCAGACCTGCGTGTATCGGGGTACCTGAATCTGGCTGCTGACCTTGCCCACAACTTCACTGATGGTCTGGCCATTGGTGCTTCATTTCGAGGGGGTCGGGGACTAGGGATCCTGACCACAATGACTGTCCTGCTACATGAAGTACCCCATGAAGTTGGGGACTTTGCCATCTTGGTCCAGTCTGGCTGCAGCAAAAAGCAGGTTAGTGATGATGTGTACCAAACATGGTTGCCTTAAACCTTTTACCCCTGTTCACCCACCCCAGACCCAAGACTGTGTCTCAGTAGTTCCACACAAATCACACTGTTGCTGACTATAGATCCCATAAAAATGAAAGGGAAGTCCTATGACTCAGTATTTTTTGAACTGAGATTCATGTTCTGACCCAGTACATCAAAAGACGTGTGGTAAAGATCTCTTTGATATTTAAGGTTCTTCAGAAAGTGTCTATTTTAGAACTCTCTTTTTCCCTTGTTGTATCATTTCCAACGACAAGCCCTTTACCCATATACACTTGTACCCTACCATCCATGTCTAAATCATTGATAATCCTTAGACATTGGTAAGAGTCTGTCTCTTTTCTGTCCACCAGGCGATGCGTCTACAACTTCTGACAGCAATAGGGGCACTGGCAGGCACAGCCTGTGCCCTCCTAGCTGAAGGAGGAGCAGTGGGCAGTGATGTTGCAGGTGGTGCAGGACCTGGCTGGGTTCTGCCATTCACTGCAGGTGGTTTTATCTATGTAGCAACAGTATCTGTGTTGCCTGAGCTGTTAAGGGAGGCTTCACCTTTACAGTCACTTCTGGAGGTGATGGGCCTCCTGGGGGGAGTCGTCATGATGGTGCTGATTGCCCACCTTGAGTGAAAGACTAGATAAATGCCCCCACCATTGTCCCAAACCTCTAACCTAAGCCCTGCAGGTCAGAGGTCTGGATGTTGAGGGCCCTGACTAGAGACATCTGCCAAGAAAGAAGTTGTTCTTGGGAAGTGTTGACTTTGGCAAGAGGGCCTTCAAGGTTTGCCAGACTCAAGGGACTTCAGAGGTGAGAATGAGAGGCCAGAGGGACCATAATGTTGGGCATGTGCTGACCATGTTTTTGGGTTTGGGGGACTAAATGGGGCCATGAAGAAGAATAGGAGAGGACTGATGGCAGCCTACCTGTGGTCATCTGCACCACCTATTCCCCAAGGACCGAGCTGTCACACACAGGCTCCTCCCACTTGACAGAGCATCAAGAAGACCAGAACCATGGACAGAGAGGGGGGTATAGCAGTGGGGGATAAGCACCGATCATGTGTCCTGATTTGGGAGTGATTGGCGGGGAGGGGGCGTTAGTTGTTAATCTCGTGGCATAGTTTTTTTGTTTCTATTTTTTTATTGCTTTTTGAATCGAGTGGGAGGATGATGACCGGAAATAAAAACTTAGATTTCTCGCCCCACGTGCTGTCTTTGTCTTATTGGGGTGAGGTTGGGAACCCTGAACTGCCCTTAGCGACGTCCCACGCTGCGGTGTCTGCCCCGCCCCCGCCGGCGGCCTGCGCTACTAACTACGGGTGGCTTTACACGCTAGCCGGGCTGCGATTGGTCCGGCTCTGGTCTTGCCACGCCCCCTCTGGTTTCGGATTGGCTTAGTTCTGCGGAGCCGCCTACCCACGACCCACCATGGCGTCCCAACTTCGGCTCCGCTCCGCGCTGTCCCTGGTTACAGGTTTCAGGGGTGCTCTCCTAGGGCGGGCTGGGGTGCCTGAGTCATGTCAGGGGCGCGCTTTCGGATTTTGCAGGTGCTGTCATCTCCGGCTCCTGCCCCAGTTTAACTTTGCACCATGGCGACCTCTGACCGCCACTGCTCCTCCTGGCCGCAGTTCGGCTCTGAGCGTTCTTTCCCACCTCAGGTGCGGGTAGCGGTATCGGCCGAGCAGTCTGTGTGCGCCTGGCCAGAGAGGGAGCCGCAGTGGCCGCATGCGACCTGGACGAGGCAGCGGCACGAGAGACTGTGCGGCTGTTGGGTGGTCCACAGAGCGAGAAAGGGGGGCCTGGCGTGGCCCATGCTGCCTTCCAGGCTGACGTGTCTGAGGCAGGGGCTGCTAGGCACCTGCTTGAACAAGTGCAGGTGAACGGAGATAACCTCTGCTGCCCTTTAAAACGCTAAGGTTGCCTCCACTGCCCTAACTCTTCGTGGTTTATTGGCGTGTGACTTCCCCGCCCACAGGACTGCTTTTCTCGCCCACCATCTGTTGTCGTGTCCTGTGCGGGCATCACAAGGGATGAATTTCTGCTCCACATGTCTGAAGATGACTGGGACAAAGTCATAGCTGTCAATCTCAAGGTGGTGACCCCTGAACCTGTGGCTTCTGGCCCCTCTACCCCTGACAGAGAACTGGAGGATAATCGGCCCAGCTGATTCTTTTTGCCTTGTTACTCTCTTTCCCTTAGGGCATCTTTCTAGTCACTCAGGCTGCAGCCCAGGCCCTGGTGGCCAATGGTTGTCATGGCTCCATCATCAACATCAGTAGCATTGTGGGCAAGGTCAGTTTGATTTGGGATCAAGTCAGCCGCCCAGCCAAGTGCGCAGAGGAAAGTCCCTCCTTGGAACGCCTGACTCATCCTGAATCTGAATCACCCATAGGTCGGGAACATGGGACAGACCAACTATGCAGCATCCAAGGCTGGTGTGATTGGGCTGACCCAGACTGCAGCCCGAGAGCTTGGACGGTTGGTCTGACACTTGGGGGTGCTGGGAGCTTTGCAGAACCATGTGTAAAGAGAGTGGCAAAGGTCAGTGTTCAGACCTCCCCAGAGTCAACAGCCACTGTCCTTCCACAGACATGGAATCCGCTGTAACTCTGTCCTCCCAGGGTTCATTACAACACCAATGACCCAGAAAATGCCACAGAAGGTGCTGGACAAGGTAGGAAGGGGTGAGGGCTTCCCTAGTGGTGAAGGATTAAAGAGCACTATGAAGCAATCACCAGCCACCGCAGCAAGAGTTCAATCCCCAGCCAGCCAGGGAGGTGACCCACATGACAGAGCAGACTTCTCCTGCCTCACCCGCTGCTCCCCTCAGCAGTGTATTTCAGTGGATATGCCTGTTCTGTTCTCCACTCTGTCTCTGGTGAACTCTCTCTCTCTCTCTCTCTCTCTCTCTCTCTCACACACACACACACACACGCACACACACACCCCTCTTGCCTATATCCCAGCTTTGATATGCATAAATAAATCTTTTTAAAAAAAGTGATAGGAAACTATGGATGGAAGACAGCAGAATGCAGAGACCTGACCTCTGGTCATTCCCAGCATGGTGCCTAGCCAGGCACCATACCTAGTAGGTATTCATTAAGTGTACCAGAAATGAAAATAAAAGAAAAAACTGGTCACTCAGTCTCAAAAAAAATATCCATAAGAGAAATTTTCACGCACGTGAATGTTTCCTTACAGGTGACTGGAATGATCCCCATGGGACATATGGGAGACCCTAAGGGTGAGCAAGCCTGAATGGCAAGGAGGCCCTGGAGAGAGGGTCTGAATGAAGAGATTCCAATGTTTTTGGTATCTCAGAGGGTCTCACTAGGATTGGTGGTGGGTGTCAGAGGGTCTTACTAGGATTGGTGTTGGGTATCTGTGTTTCAGAGGAGGGGTGTTCCTGGTGGTAGATGACAGCTTCTTTGGGTCCATGAAGTAAAAAAGATGGTATCCTCTCCCTATCATTCCTATAGATGTGGCAGATGTAGTTGCATTCTTGGCATCTGAAGACAGTGGATACATCACCGGGGCCTCAGTGGAAGTCACTGGTATGAGGCCATTGTGAGAGAGGGCAGAGAAGTGGGACCCACTGGAGCCACTGAGGGAAGGGCAGAAGTTGTACCAAAGTGAGCACTCCCCACCCAGGTGTCTCCTCCTCTGCATCTATCCAATTGTTTGTGCCCTTTCCAGGAGGTCTTTGCATGTAATTGCCTCAGGACCCAGGATTGTGCTCACTCCCCCACCACTCCGCTGGACCTCCTGTGGATGAGGATTCTAAATTCCCAGGCAACAAAAGGGACTGCAGTGTATGACTTAGGAATGCTGAATTCAGGAGGCAGGGGTGCTTGTGACCCTAATAAATTCCAAATCCTCTTCCCTGCCATCTCCAGTTCTTGTGTCCAAGCCCCTCAGACCCTTCCCCACTTCCCCCTCCTTTCCCTTTCCCTGAGGATTGTTCCCTTTCACTGCCTGGTCTCCCAGGGCAACCCTAGCCGCCGGGTGTGAGAGAAGAGAGTGTGTGACACTGTGTATGCGTGACACTCTGGGTCTTTTTGAAGGGAGGGGGTCTCTGCCCCACCCCCTTCTTCAGGCCCCACAGCCCCAGTCCCCTCCCCCCCAACTCCCTGAGTCCTTATGGTCCTCAAAAGTGATTTGTTCATGGCCCCATCCCGGTGTCCTGTCTGGCCTTGGGAGGGGGTCTTGGAACAGGTGGCCCTCCCCCACCCCTCCCCTTTTTCTGAATTCCCCCTCCCCTTTCTCTCCACCTTACAATAGCTGCAGCCGGCCAGGGGTCGGATGGGGGGGATTAGAGGAGGGGGCCAGGATTAGGGGAATGGGCCAGCCGATGAAAGGGGCTGGAGGAGAGCAGAAGGGAGGGGGCTGGGAGGAGGAGGAGGAAGGGGAGGGGGTCTGCGCTAATCGACTCTGGAGCCCACATAAGGACTGGCCACGGACTGAAGGAGAGGACAGGGAAGTAGGGGGGACCTGGTGGAGGGGGCGAGGGGACCCACTGCTGCCTTGCTCCAGAAACAGGCCACCCCTGGCAGCTACAGCCCAAGTCCCGGAACCCCAGCTCAAGCTGGAGGAGACAGCATGCCCATCAGGGTCTCTGCCCCCCACCCCACCCCTCTCATCTTCTGCCCTCAATGGGGATCGCTCTGCCCCTTCCTCTTCTCTTCCTCCCTGTCTCCTTCCTTTACTGCAAAGTCCTGGAGAACGCTGTTGCCCGCTCCTCACTCCAGACATTCGTTCCCTGTGCCCCCCTCCACATGCGCTCACCCCCTCCCCAATAGGGGCCCCATCTTGTGTGTGTCCCTGTTTCCGCGTGGTGTCTCCATTCCCCCGTTCCTCCCGTGCGCTCCCTCCCCCGCCCCGGGCCGTGGCTCTTGATTGTCCAAACGCAATTCTCGAGTCTATGGCTCCGGCCGAGAGTTGAGTCTGGACGTCCCGAGCCGCTGCCTCCAAACCTCGAGGGGAGAGCGGGTCGGAGGGTCAAGGGAGAGCCAGAGCGGAGGGTGGCGTACGTCCCCAGGGTGGAGGGGGAATCTCGGGTGCACCGGGACTTAGTTGCGTTCACAGGACTGGAGAAGTGAAGCGGCAATGGATCCCTGGCAGCGTTCCCCTCTCCTACCCCCCTGAATCCGGCCTGGGGTTCCCGAACAAGTTGTGTTGGGGGGCGGGGGAAGCTGTTCCTCAGAGTTGCTAGGGGACCTAGAGTGGGGGAGGTGGCCCTTTTCCCATGCAGGGTGCCCTCGGGGGTCCGAGTGATCCCAGGCCCCGCCCTCCGGGGCAGAGGCCCCGGGTGGGGGCTACCGGCCGGGAACGGCGGCCCAGTAACGCGGCGCGACGCGACGGTGCCGAGTCGGGGGCGGAGACCGCGGCCCCCACGTGGCACGGGACTCTGGGGACGCCGGCTCCTCTCGGGGGACGGGCGCGTCCCGAGGGCGGGGGAAACCGGGCGTCCACGTCGCGTCCCACCCGCGCCGCGAGTGGCGGGTGACGTCTCCGCTGGCGGGGGGAGTGGAGTGGAGGGGCAGGCGGAAGTGACGTAGGGCCCCAGCGCCCGGGCCATGGCGGTGGCGGCGGCGGGAGCTGCAGCGGTCTGAGCTGCGGCTGCCGACCGAGCGAGCTCAGCCGGGGCATCTGGGCCCGGAGAGAGGCATCGCGACCGCGGGAGCGCGGACGGCCAGAGCCTGGTAAGGGGCTGCGCTGGCGCGGGGGCGGGGGCTGAGAGGGGTGCCGGGGGGGCGGGGTCTGCGCGAGGGGCGGCCCCCCTAAATACCCTCCCTCTCCTTCCCCTTCCCCTCTCCCCCCAGCCTACCTCTCCTCCACGGCTGTGGAGCCCTGGTGGGGGGGGTCTGTGCCCGGTCACCATGACGACGCCGGCGAATGCCCAGAATGCCAGCAAAACGTGGGAACTGAGTCTGTATGAGCTGCACCGGACCCCGCAGGTGACAGGGAGCTTCCCTTCACAGCTTACGCGGTGTCCACAAACCCTTCAAATCCACAGACCACCATCTCACAGCCCTTTCTGCCATTTACTGTCCCATTCTGCCACTCCTGCCCGAATTCACAGACTCCCTTCCCCCTACCCTTGAATCACCTTAACCTTTCATATCTACTTCAAAACAGCCATGCCAGGGAGGTAGAGCAAGAATTTCTATCTCGTTTGAAAGATAGTAAATAGAAACTGCCTTCTTTTCTCAGCTCAGTATCACAGGTCAGTGAATATAAGACTCACATGGGGAACTTACTTTAAAATCGAGTTTCCAAGTCCCCCCCCCGCACACACACTTAATGTGACACAGTAAAGGGAAGTCCGGGAATCTGTGTTTTGAACAGGCATCCTAGTGGGTGCTGATAGACATAGTACCTGGCCCACACTTTAAGAAATTCTGTTGAATTAGTTCCCTAAATCACTTGTCTGTGCCTCCCCTACCTCCACATCTATCACAATACCACAGATCCTCCTATTGGAAATCTTCCACCCTCACTGGACACTAATCCATCCTGTTTTCCATTCTCTCCAAGTCGTTAACCGCCCCTCTCTCAGAATTCCTATCTTCCCCAAGTGGCCAACATGGAATACCCAGTTTGGGAGTATTTCCCCAAACTCCCACTTCATGGACCACTTGTTTCTGAAACCCCTCCCCAGTCCTCCCCACACACCCCATAGCAACCTACCACCACTTTTTCACTCACTGGTGCTTCCAGGAAGCCATCATGGATGGCACAGAGATTGCTGTTTCTCCTCGCTCGCTGCATTCAGAACTCATGTGTCCCATCTGCTTGGACATGCTGAAGAACACAATGACCACCAAGGAGTGCCTCCATCGATTCTGCTCCGACTGCATTGTCACCGCCCTGAGAAGCGGGTAACAAGGGATGCTTGAGATGGGATGAAGGCCATACAGTTGAGCCTCAGTGACTGACTGCTCAGGGACACCTCTCTCTCACCACAGGAACAAGGAGTGTCCTACCTGCCGCAAGAAGCTGGTATCCAAGCGGTCTCTGCGGCCAGATCCCAATTTCGACGCCCTGATCTCTAAGATCTACCCCAGCCGAGAAGAATATGAGGCCCACCAAGATCGGGTGCTCATCCGCCTCAGCCGCCTGCACAACCAGCAGGCGCTGAGCTCCAGCATTGAGGAGGGGCTGCGCATGCAGGCCATGCACAGGTTCGGGCGGGCGCAGAGGCAGCAGCAGAACCCATGGACAGATCTGTGGATCAGACTCTTGGTGCTGTCTTAACTGGCAGCCAGCTGTTTACCTCCCCATCCTAGGCGCTCACCCCAGCCTCATTGGCAGATCTGGCATGTGAATTGCAGCTTCTGCAGCTGGCACTGTTATTCCTTTTTTTTTTTTTTTAAAGATTTATTTATTTATTCATACAGAACTGGGGTATAGGCCAGAGATGGCGGAGGGTGAGAGGCTTCACCAGAGACAGAGTGGGGAGCAGAACAGGCAGATCGACGAAGTACACTGCTGAGGGGAGCAGCGGGCGGGTCAGGAGAGGTCTGCCGTGCCATGTGTATCATCTCCGGGGCAGGAGGGGATCGAACTCATGAGGAACAAACTTAAGCTTCTTTGTGCTGTGCTTTAACCCGCTGCGCCACCAGGGAGGGCCTGCACTGTTATTCTTAAGAAAACAACTCACCTTTTAAATTTCTCAGAGTTAGACTAGTTGAGTCATTTTTAGCATAAGCTCTAGAATCACACCTCTGGGAATTAAATCACGTCCCAGGCCAGCATAGCTCAGTCTTTAATATGTATGCATATTGAAAGGACAGTGTTACAAACGCACATTGTGATTCAGTTGGTCTAGAATTGAGCCTAAGAGTCTGCCTTCCTACAAACCTATGCTACTGGCTCTTATGTCATACTTTTGAGAGGTGAGGGACAGTGATCTCAAACAAGTAATTTAATTTCTCTAAACCTCAGTTTTTCCATCGTAAAGAAGAATGTAATTAGCTGTTCCTAGGAGTTGTGTTATGTGTGCCAATCAGCGCAAAACATTTAGCAGTGTACTTGGCACACAGTTAGTGTTTAATCAATGTTAGGTGTGATCATTAAGATTTCCCTCATCTCTTAGCCTCTGAAGTTTAAAGTCTAAACCCCTTATCCTTGGTGCTTTCTAACTTTAACCATTTTCTTCTACAGGGCCCAGCGTGTGAGGCGGCCGATGCCCGGGTCAGATCAGACCACCACGATGAGTGGGGGGGAAGGAGAGCCTGGGGAGGGAGAGGGGGATGGAGAGGATGTGAGCTCAGATTCTGCCCCTGACTCTGCCCCGGGCCCTGCTCCCAAGCGACCCCGTCCTGGGGGTGCAGGGGGGAGCAGTGTAGGGACAGGGGGAGGTGGCACTGGCGGGGTGGGTGGTGGTGCTGGTTCTGAAGACTCTGGTGACAGGGGTGGGACTCTGGGAGGGGGGACCCTGGGCCCCCCAAGCCCTCCTGGGGCCCCCAGCCCCCCAGAGCCAGGTGGAGAAATTGAGCTCGTGTTCCGGCCCCACCCCCTGCTCGTGGAGAAGGGAGAATACTGCCAGACTAGGTGAGAGTCCTGTCTGTCCCCAGACCACTGAGAAAACAAAGACCACATAGACTTCCACAGAAGTGGGCTTTGCCCAAACCCAGAAAGAAACCCAAACCAGAGGCCCTTTTGGAAAGTCCCCTACTTCCCTTCTCCCATTGAGGCTCCCTTTGCTCTAAACCCACCCTCTTTCCTACTCCAGATACGTGAAGACAACTGGGAATGCCACGGTGGACCATCTCTCCAAATACCTGGCCCTGCGCATTGCCCTTGAACGGAGGCAGCAGCAAGAGGCTGGAGAGCCAGGAGGGCCTGGAGGGGGTGCCTCTGAAGCTGGGGGACCTG